CAAGAATATATATACTTTGTTGGGTCTGTCACGCCTCCTTCTGCCTGTTACATACTTTTAACAAAGCCTGATTTTCCATTTTCAATGGGTTCAGAGTATAACAATATTCAAACTTAAATGTATTTAAATAACTTAAACCTAAAATCTTCCCTAAATATAATATTAAAGCTATCCATCTAGGAGCCAGATGTTTTTATTTAATAACAGTAAGATGTCCACAGTTTTTGCTTTAAAGCGAGATCGACGTGTGCCTATAATTTCCGAAGCTTTACTAAATGTTTTCTAAGAATCGTTGGAGCTTGCCGGAAAGCAAAGGTACTTTCGAGCGTACTGTGCGATGTGCTTAAAATGTTGCGCATTAATCTGCAACGATTTAAATGGTGTTCTCGACTATCGATAGTCGCTAAGTTCTATCACTGACCAAACAAGGTATCGCCGATTTCGAAAACCAACGAGGTTCAACATATATGTACATACATACATATATATGTATATATATATATATTGTGTTAGCAAAACAGAATTGATGGATAGAGATCTTTGTTGCTTAAAAATAAAAAATGTTATTAAATATCATTGTTATTTATATGATTATTATTATAATTCTTACCACTTTAAATACATATTACCAAATTTTTTTTATTGATCTTTATTGTTTAAATATTTTTAACGGCATTTAGGTTCTGAGAAACAGGATGTAATTGGAATGTAATGTAATATATATTTAATAATATATATTTAATACAGAATATGAACTTAAACATTTTCTAGCTGGTGTTTTCAAATTTTGACTTTTATCAAAAAGTGTATTTTTTGTGTATGTAGTATGTATATTTGGATTTGTACATAAAGACAATATTTTATTCAATAAATAATTTATTTTAAAATATGTGAAGTATAAAAATCACCATTCCTAATGATTTTACTATCCGGCAAATCGAACGTTTTCTTGCACCTATTCCGGGACATTTTCAATAATAAATAATAAACTCATGCATATAGACTACAAATTTAATTAAATATACATAGATAAAATGATGTAAAATACATACATAAAAATTCATTTTAAACTGATAATCAAATTGGTATTTAAATTAATTTTGAAAAGTTTTTATTCTATTATCCTTTATGTACATATATAAAAATATTGTATTTACTTTCTGTTTACAAATATAAAACTTGGTTTCTCATATTATATTATCTGTATCTATATATTATATATATTTATATTATATAATTGCAAAGTACAAAACTGAAGCTGGAAACACCGTAAATAAAATGCAGAATTTTTTTGTATACCCTGAACTCATTGAAAATGGGAAATCAGGGTATAATGGGTTTGTTAAAAAGTATGTAACGGGCAGAAGGAGGCATGGTAGACCCCATAAAATATACATATATATATATATGCACATAGCCTTGTCCGTCTGTCCGTCCGTCCATATGAGTGCGTCGATCTCAGAAAATACAAACTCTACAGAGCTGAAATTTGGCATGCATACTCTTGTATACCATATGCAGTACAAGTTGGTCTTAATTTTTCAATAAATCATCCGATAACCTTTTTATCGAGAAATGGATTTGATTTTTCCAGCCCAATTTGAGCACTTTTAGACCTGGAGACTTTACATTGTGTATATACATATGATGAATACATTTTGTAATTTACAGATTTTGGATACTATGCCTCCTTCGCCCCCAATTTATGAAAAATGTTACATACTTTTCACAAAACCATTATACCTTGATTTCCCAATTTCAATGGATTCAGTGTATAAAAATTATGTGTCTATGCTCACCCGGGCTGACCAAAAGGCCAAAAGGCTTCGACTGATATATGTATGTCCGCTCACAGGAGGCGTGGCAATCCGCCAAAGTTTGTATCTCCTAAAATATAATAACTGGAAGCTTCAAATTTGTATAGTAATGTTACTAGTAACCTCCTCTATCGATGACAAAAAAATAATTTTGACGCATCTTAAAGGGCGTGGCATATCGAAAAATATACTGTAATGGCAAATCGGGTAAACTGAATATTCTACAGTATTAGAGCTACTATGCTGATGGGATGTGAATGAGTATTCCGCAGTCGGTACCGACTTCAATGTTGCTTGCTTTAAATAAAATATGATCATATCGAACTTAAAAAATATAAATAATTTGCAATAGGATTTCAGTTTGATATCTATATATATTCGTGGTTTGCATATATGCATGTATATATATATATATGTCATAAGCCCCAAAAATGATTTGATTGGAATAGGCGCATCTGGAATACTGGAGACCTCTATCTACGCTACAGCACAGCTGTCTATACTAAGGGAATATTTTGATAAAGACACTTTTTTATTGTTGTATATTGAAATAATTGGGTTATCATATTTACTATAATTGTTGTTACTAAATTACTTATTGTTAAGTATTATTTTAATTTAATTAGGCAATTTTTAAATATTTTAGGCACTTTTTGTAAACTTTTAATTTAGTTTTTTGGTTTTGTTTTCGACTTATATAGTCAATTCATTCTCATTATTAATCTCATGCCTCAGTCCCATGGCACAACAGAGTTACTTGGTAGGCTAACTCCATTTTTGGAATGTATTAAGGTATGTCAAAGGACGGAAATGAATAGTTTGGCTTAGTAGTGCCAGTCCAGTTCACTTTTATTTTTCTTCTGCTCTTTAATTCGGCGAACATCCATTTCAACGATGATCTTAACCAATCTGGTCATATTTGCCTGACTGTCTGCCAAAAAGTCTTCTGCCAAAGAGTCTTCTGAATTTGATACGGGAATATGTGACGGCATGTCCTTTTCACCTTTCATGATTGGCATTTACAGGTGCAACATCGAGCCATGCTCCAAATCCTGGCTCGATATTCTGAAATCGACTCTAAACATCCCCGCGATTTACTCTTTTGGCGACAGTGCTCAATTGGTAGTTTCGATGTCATGAACCTATAATATATACAAATTCAGTTAGCGTTTTTTTTTAATGATTTACCTGATAATGTGAATAGTGAAGGCTTTAGAAATAAGCTTACATCGTACATAAATGGTCCATAGACCACGCCCTCTTCCGCCATTTGCTAATCAACATTTTAAATGGGTGCTCAAGTATGTATGTAAATATATATGGATGTGTTATGATCTTCCGATGTTACTCACAATTAAGGGCATCCACATTCGTCTACAACCATCTTCGGTAGATCACGTTTAATAATACCATCGTCGCCATAGTAAATTAAGGACATGCTTGAGAACTTGATCGGAGCGCAGCAGGGGCGCATTCCATTCAGTAAGCCCATTTTGCGATATTCTTCGATGAAGTGTGCGTGAAATGTTTGAAACGTGTCTGGGGTGCGGAACGGCCCAGTACATTCGCCTCGACAGTAGTTGGCAAAGTATCCACGAGGCGCTATTATCCAGTCATCCCAGCCGAGCGCTTTGAAGGATACGTAAAAGGATTCCTTGCAGCATTGGCCGCTTAATGCGCCACCGCAGTCTATTGCACGTCGCCGAACGCGACGAGGCCTTGGCGATTCCGTATGTAGGACAAGAAATGGACGGTTCGGATTCACGAAGCGATCCGATGCCAATTTCACCCGTGGCTCGGGCAGCTGAAACAGGTGCAGTGAATATTTACTGCCGCAGCCTGTGCAGTCAATCAAGAGACGTAGATTCTCCCTGCCCCTATCGTTGTACCATTCCCGAATAGTCTCGGTAAGATCAAACTTTTGCCAACCCAAGCGATCCGTGTCCACCTCGAATAGGGCACGAAATAGAAAAACCTGATCCATCGCCTGTTTGTAACAAATATTTTAAATTTCTCTACATCAACACGGTATACAGCGGATATACGGAAACTCACCTTCTCAGTCATATTGATCCCCTCGCTCATTCGAAATACCCAAATCTTGATCCTTTGCCTAGGCTCGCTGGCGTGACTCTTCCGCGCAGTCTTCATCTTACGTTGCGCGTCGTGGCTCACAGCTTCGCTTTTCACATCCTGTCTCTCGATGCGAATATGCATTTGCGCACTCTTAATGGATATCTTTTGATTAGATATACCCGCTTTCTGCGCGGCGAACTCCACTATGCGATATTGCCGGTATTGTGCGCCTGTGCATTTCAGATGACATCAAGTTAAAAACGGACTAGTGCTCTAGTCGAGAATGCCCGACCAGTAGATATGCTGATGACCCATTCCTTCATTGTAGGTTGCTTGAACACACCCACTCATACCCACTATAGAATATTCATTCATTGGTGCAACAACATTGAATTTGATCAGGTGAGGGTATACATATTCCAAATGCCAATCCTCTAGATCCAATAGCGGCAATATGGCTTGCGCTCATTTGGACAATGGGATGGGACACACAGAACATAATCCCAGCACAGTATGGAGGAGCAATTTCAGCTGTTTGAATTTGGGCTCCTCTTGGAGCGGTCGCGAGAGTTGAGCCGCGCAAACGATTGGAGATGTTCAAAATTTAAAAAATATTCATTACAAACATTTCGGACGAACGTAATATGAGTAGACGATTCCGCTCTTGATCCTGGTCAAGGAGATGTGAGCAGGGTATAATACACAGAGACGACTTGTTTTATACGTATATAATACTAATATGTTTAGGAGTATCCAACTGACGTTAGAAGAGTGTCGACTAAGCCTATTACTCAGAGCCTCTGCGCATATGCCTACCTATGTATGTACAAATTTCGAGGTGAAAAACGTTAGTCAATATACCTGGACTGGTCGAGCGCGTATTGAAAATGCCGGCTAAAGGCACGAGTGTGAGTGAGTAGGCGTTCCACGTACACATGTATGTTTTTTATCGTTTTGCATTTTTAATTGTTTACCCTGTCTGTTGCTCTTGTTTCACACCTAAGAACAATAGTGAAAGTACTTCACCGTTGCAGTCTGCTAGAACCACTCAGACGACGAAACAGTACTTCTACACAAGTGTGTGTGTGTGTATGCGTTTGCATGTGTTTGTAAACCGTCTGGGATGGGATCGGGAGTACCGTCGACCAGACAAAACAAAAACACATACAATGAGAGCGGCACACATATGTCTGTGTATGCTTGCGTACGAGTCCACAGGGGTCTGTATGTGAGACGCCTTCAACGAGAAGACTGTTGTAAAGACACTTGAGCCCGCTTATACCCTATTCTAGTATTGCACTTACGACAAGGTGTTTGCCTACGTATGTGCGCATACATATTCGTATGCATGTGTGGGTGTGGGTAATTGGGGGCATATATATGGCCATCCAGCTCTCCTTCTGAGTCTCCTTCTTTCATTGACTAGCGACGCTTACCGTATTATTTGCAGTTAACATTTGCATTCATTTCTTCAATGAATATACACAAGCAAACACATACATATGCGTTTGCAGGTGTATGCAACACACACTCACGTTTGCACTAGCGATGAAAACTTTACACACATAGAGAGCGCATACGTCTGGTGTAGTTTATTGTGTTTGTTTGGTTACTTATTTTTGTTTAAGGGGTGAGGGCCTGGCTGCAGCCATACGTACACTCATACATATGAATGTACATATGTACATACATATGTACATATATCGACAATGGGTTACTAACTACAAAAATTGAAGATTGAAACATTTGTTTTCATTTTTGGTAAAGAGAGTGTCTTCGTTATGAAATGATGATGAATCTCAGGAATCCAATACACTAATAATATTTCAAATATTTTTATACCCTGAACCCATTGAAAATGGGAAATCAGGGTATAATGGTTTTGTTGAAATGTATGTAACAGGCAGAAGAGGGCGTGGCAGACCCCACAAAGTATATATATTATCACAAAGTATATATATATCAGGGCGACGAACTGAGTCGATTTGGCCCTGTCTGTCTGTCTGTCCGTCCGTCCGTATATCCGTATGTATGAACGCTTCAATCTCAGAAGATATAAGAGCTGGTCTTCAACTTATATTTAAAATGTCCATATATATATATCGCGCGCATATCGAGTTTATCACTAAAAAACGATAACTCATTATCGATAGAAAACACCCTATCGAAGATCAGTTATAAAATTATATCTCCCACATCTTTAAGGTATATTAAAATGCATTTTATACAATTTCGGTTTTTGTTAGAATTTGCGCCCCACCCCTATATTCATCCCCTCATCCTCATATTTGTAAAAGGCGTATTTCATAGTAGAGACTTCGGAATATACATACAATTATTCAACAAATAAATTCTCATAATACTGCCAAGACTGCAGCGCAACCTAAGCGCAATCGCCTGTATATGTGCACCTGTGTGTGTGTGCTTGTGTTTGTTTGTATGCGTGTGTGTGTGTGTGTGTGTGTGTGTATGTGTATGTGTGTATATGTGAATTATTATTGAAATATCAGTTGCTCGAAGGGTTCAGGGGATCTCGTAGTCGAGCAGTCTCGACTAAAGCTTTCTTACTTGTTGAATTTCTTTTTAGCTTTGGCGTTCGATCGATTGATTTATTAATCAATAGTTATCGAGTTAAGATCTCTAATAACCACTGACCAGACAACACATAGATGAGACATGTAGAGCAAACGTTTTCAGCGCCGAAATATGTGGATGAGAGACTGCTCAATTTCGTATTTGCTCGGCTCAGTCTCTTGGGGCTCGAGCAGTGAAAATACAGCAAAACAAAGCCAGTGCGCTTCGAAAAAATGGTACCGTTTTTATATGAAGCACGGCTGTGCGCTATTTGTCCTACTCTCTGTCACTCTACCTCTCTCTTCTCTCTCTTTCTATGGTCACTTAAATCATCCAACTCAGAAGCGCACAAAAATTGAAATTCGTCCACGACCATCCCAGCTCTTGCCTTTTGAGTGAAGGGTATACCGAAATCTTAGAAGCGTTTGCCATGCTCATATAAAATCTTGTGTTGTCTGGTCAGTGTAAAAACTTCAATGCTCGTTTGGTACTGTAAGTTGGCGACAGCTTATTAGGGAAGCCTTGTGCACAAAAGGGAGAGTCAAGGGTGAAATTGAGACCTCAGCTTCGAGCCCAGCACTTCTCCGAATATTTGTAATACGTGTGCCTAAAAGTAGATTTTTTAATACTTACCCTCCTCAGCAAACGTAATTATCTCTTGCGTGCTTCCAAAGTACTCTTCGCGCTCAAATCCATTAACATTGTCTCGATGCATAGTGATGGCATCGTGTTCTCGGCTGTGTTTCTTTTTGACTCGCGCATTATTACTGGCTGATGGCTTCTGCTTATGGTCTTTGTTTTGGATTTGAACTCTGTAATCGTTAAAATATATATGATCGTCGTGATCGAAGTCGGCGGTAGCTCCGCCGCTTACATCGTTTTTGCTATCACTATCTCTACTCCGGTTTATATCTATAAGATATGTCGATTCACTATAAGCATTTGACTTAGGGTTCTTATTCCAATCGAGGGAGCTCTGGTTCTCTGTCCTTGTTCGCGTATCCGATCCATGGATTGTCTTAGCCCTTTCTGCTTCTGTTTCTGAAGAGACTGATCTTAAGTTATGGTATTTTGTTTTGTTTTTACTTTTACTGCTGCTCCTGTTTGTAGTACCAATTATATATGGTACACTTAAGCTATCGAAACGATTCTCGTTGAGCTCATTAACGACGGTTCGCATTCTCTTCCGCTGACTACGATTTGCCAAGATAACGTTTCTTTCGAATACATCGTTCGTTACCATTTGCCCACCGTCTGCTCGATAGATTGTCTCCCAGATAAACTGTTTGGGTAGCGGGTGGGATACATTTGGTTTATGAGTGAGTCCTAGTTTTGTCAAGATTTGTCGTTTGATTGACTCTAAACGAACACGATCACTGACCACAATATTATTGTTTGTTCTCTGAATACTTTTTTTATAGGCAAAATTGTTATTGTTGTTGTTATGGTTGTTGTTGTTGTATTCTGTGTGTGGGTTATCTGTGTAAATGTGACAATTTTGAAGTGTTTTTGTAAGTATTAGAAGCTGTATGAGAAGTGTGCAAATTCATTGTATTCAAATAAAGTCTAGCCAAACCCAAGCAGACGAAGGACAAGAAAAAATATATAATCGGATGCAGAAAAAACAATCAATTTGTATCTTCTTCGCATGGTTGCAGCCCAGATATGTATAACTCTGTATAAACACATATTGTTAAATTTTTGCATTTGTGTGCATTATTTTTATGGTGATGACGTCTATAGTTTTTCATGTATCTCAAAAATTCAACTTGTATTCAAAAATAGACATATATTAGAATAATAAAAGAATACAAGAAAAATAAATGAATAAAAAAATAATAACGTTTGACATAATATTGGCATACTTCACAAAATACTCCACATTAATAGGTGTGCCTAACAAAATTAAACAAAAATTAAAATTTCGAAAATATTATGTAACTTGTATTATGTATTTAGATAAATGTGGATAATACCATGTATGACCGCTTTTATTCGCAAAGATTTTGCTGATCCTTAAGGGCAAGGGGGGGTATTAACTTTCTACACCATTCCTCCCGAGTATTTTCCAATAATTTGCCTTTTCAGATGTCCCCAAAAATTCTCGATTGGATTGAGATTTGGAGACTGACCTCCACTCACCTGCCACTCATAAACGTCAATTCTATTTGGAAATAGAATTTCCATTTTAGAGGCATGTTGTCGTGGGCATATGGTAGCATAACACTACTTAATAATTCCTTTTACAGGAATCTGTCCATTATGAAAATAGTCGATGGTCCAATTCAAAACCATGCCTTAAACAGTCCCAAATCATTATGCCGCCTCCTCCTTGCTTAGCCGTGTCTTTCTATATCTAGGATCCAATTCTTTGCCTTTAGTTTATCGAACATTTATATTTGAGTCACTCCCTAACAACATTTTTTTTTATTTCATCACTCCAGAGAATGATCCTATATTTACGCACTCGCTCTAAGCTAAATAGCCGTCGATGAATAGTTTTTGTTGATATCACATTGCCCATTTCGCTGGCGATTGGCCGCGACGACAGGGCTTAAGTTCTCCAATCGTCCCATTAGAGAGAAAATGCATTCATAAGTTTTACCCTCTTCACGACGCTCAAGAACGAGGTTTCTCTCTTCAGCACTCCACGACCCATCTAATTATATTAAAATGTTGACAATAAAAAGTTGTATGCTTAAATCTAATTATATTTAAATCTTATTATTTTTATTGCTTACTAAAAAACTATAATTTCTTAAAATTTTTATTTTTATACCCTGAACCCATAGGAAATTGGAAATCAGGGTATAATGGTTTTGTGAAAAAGTATGTAACGGACAGAAGGAATCATCGCAGACCCCATAAAGTATATATATTCCTTATCAGCACGGCGAGCTGAGTCGATATAGCCCGTCCGTCCGTCCGTTTGAGTGCGTCGATCTCAGAAGACACAAAAGCTAGAGAGCTGAAATTCGGCATGCATACTCGTGTATACCATACGCAGTACGAGTTTGCTTTATTTTTTTCGATAAATCATCCGATAATTTCTTTATCGAGAATAATCGACAAATTGATTCTGTTTTTCAGCCTCATTGGAACACTTTTAGACCTGGAGACTTCAGATTCACTGTGTATATACATATGTTAAATAAAAATATTTTGTAATTTACAGATTTTGGTTACCACGCCCCCTTCGCCCCCAATTTATAAAAAACCCATTTAAAATACTAGAGACTTGTGATTTGGAATGTACATACATTTGAACATTATGATTGCGTTTAATAAGTTTGAATAAGATTAATTTATTATAATTAAATTCTCATAATATTGCCCACACTGCGGCGCAGCCCAAGCGCAGTCGCTGCTTACTGCCACTGACCAAACAACACTGTGGTGGACTGTGGTGTGCGTGTGCACGCTCGTCGCGAAAACTTTTTCATTAGGACCACCAACGCTTTCATACCCTTCTCACAAATAATAACGAAAA